TTATGCGCCCCAGGCAAGACAGCCAAACTGTCCCTGAAAATCTCTACTTTCTTCTTTTTATTGACTTGGTATATGCGAGCAGATATTAACGTGTTATCTGTTGTGTGTTACACTGATCCCAAAAAAACTTACTGACTATAAAAGTCTAATACCACGCTATAGGAGTCTGGCTATGAAAACTTTATGAATTAATTAAACATGAAAGTAACCCAACTTTAAAATGCTCCAACAAAACTGGGGGGGGGGATCAATAAGGTGCTTGAGAATGAAATAATAATTTCATGAAAAAGTGTTACAAAGGCATTTTTCTCTGTTATAAAAGTTTAACTCTCAATTAAGTCACATCTATGAATAGTATCTTTAAAAATTAAAAGACCAGACTAGAGCATAAGCAATTATAAAATCACATCAGTGTATCAGAAAAAAAATCTTAAACCCTGGTCCCCAACAGAATTTTCTCCCCTCTTAAATTATGGTGTCGTTCAGGTATCCTTCTCTCCTAGCCCTAACTATCTTTCCCAGCCATAATTTATACCCTTATCATCCCTTTATCAGCTATAAACAATCTTTTCTGCAAGTCTGGCAAGTCCAAAAACCTGGAAAATCAAAAATATTTTCTTTCCATAAGAAGTCCAATTATTCTAGCACGTGTTATCACCCTAATGATTTCTCTCTCAAAATCTGGCAAGCTGCTTTTTAGATGATCACATCATTTTTATGACGAAAAAAAAATGTTGCAAGGCCTGAAGGAACAAAGGCTGGTATCATTAAAAAATTCTACCATCCTTGCCCCATTACGCCAAAATCTGGAAAACAAGAATATTCTCATTTTACAGAATGCCAATTCTAAAACCAGCATCTCTTATCCCATGTCCAGCCCACAAAATCATCTCAGTCGTGGCGCCTCCAGGTGGCCACTCTGAGGGAGGCCCATAAAACCTCTACGAGAGGCAGGGACTTTTTTGAGGTGGCTCCAATTTTACAGAACCAGCTTCCGAAGGAGCCTACCGCCCAGCCCCCTCCTGGTGGACTTTTAAGGAAGCAATTAAAGACATTGCTTTTCAGGGAGGCTTTCCCCACTGACTCCAGCTGACCACCTTCCCCCTTTTTTCCTTTCCCCTCCTCTTCTTCCCTCCCCTTTTTTTTCTTCCAGCTGCTGTTCCATCTCTTTTCTTGATCTACATGTAGCTCTCTACTCTTTGGACCACTTCTTTCCTTCTCTTTCTAAGACAGTGAGTCAGATTATTCAATTTTACAATAAATCTGCTCTCGGTTCTAGCCCAAACTTTACAGGAGCTTTCAAGGGGCTGATCCCTATCCTCCCGCTCCCAGTCAATTCAATACCTCTAAAGTTCACATTAAAACCCAGAGTGGATTTTTCACCTTGAGAAACCAGAGTTCACGGGCTCTAACAGTCATTCCTTGTTTGCTCCAGTCCTTTATGCACATAGGATTTAGTCTTTGTTATGATCCTTCAGTAGCCTTACACACAGGGAAGCCAATTCTAGGGAAATTTAGGTATCTTTTTCTTCTCTGTGGCTTGTGAATGGCTTTTCCAAAACAATCAGATTATTTTCCCTTTTTTTCATAACTACCAGTCTTCCAAAACCATTATTTCCAATACAGTGTTCTTCAGCTCAACGCAGGGCACTTGACGCTGCCAGGAAGTATGAAATAATTCCAGCCTTCCATCCATCAGCTTTCTAGAAGCAGCAGCCCTCAATCACGCGCACAAAGCTGCATCTCCAGCCGATCAGCCCTTCCAAAAAAGAACCATCCATCACTGCCCAGGCAGCTACAAGTGTCGTGCTGTGAGTGAAAGGGAAAGGTGGCAGCAACAACAACAAAAACAAAGTAGAATGTACCGCTTCTAAACCTTCCGAGTTTATTTTGAGAGGATGAGATTTGGGAGAGATCTGTGAGATGGGAAGAATTTCAGGCCCAACTCTGCATGAATAAGAATTTAGCTGGGCATTTCTTTCAATGTTCGCTTGCGTTTCAATGTTAAAAGCACTTTCAATAGATGCGATTTTAAAGTTGAGGCTTGAACTACAGTTTACTATAGTCATTTCAAGTTTTCTTTCTGCTTTTCCAGGTCCACAAGCAGGATATCTCTGTAGGGTCTCTCAAGCCACCTTTGCAGGTAGTTTTTAATCTATTGCACAGTTTTGAATGTTTCATTAAATTCCTCTACCTGTGTAGGAAAAGCACAGGGATTCACAGGACACAATAGCTTCCGGTTCCCCCGAGCAGTTCACCCCTTTTCCTCATGGACCAGCCCTTGCAGTCCCATTAACTCACTTGGAGACATTAGGAACAGAAAGAATAGTAAAATTTACTTACAATTGAACAGAACTAACAGCAAACTCAGAACAAACACGACTGTTTGTAGCAACAGGTCTCGACAGACTCGCGGACTGCTTCCAACAGACTAAACAGAGAGGGGGGAAAGCTCAGAGCAGAAGGGCGGGCCTCTCTTAGAAATCAGAGGCAGGGAAGGAATGATTGGTTAGTGCTGTTAGTAACAGCCCCAAAAGGTCCCTCCCAACCACGCCTACTAAAGACAGCCTGCGAGGTTGCAAAACCTTGTACATTATCCAGCCTGACCTTAGCACTAACAAAACTTGCTCTTGAGAACCACGACCTCCTTTCTCTTAGGCGTTCCTTTCAGCTCCTGCTAAGAACCATCAAGTAGAGAGAAGAATTTTGAACCCACCTTCTTCTTTTTAAGAATCGTCCCCCCCTCCAAAAAAAAAAAAAACACATTTCATACATCTTTATATCTTTTGAGTTTACAAAACTTGGAATGCAGAGAAAAAAGAATGCTGATGGAGAGGTCCATTCAGGAGGACTTTGACTGCTTGGCTCTGAGTCTCTGTGTGTCCAGCCAGGTAGATGATGAGCTGAGTTTGTCCCTTCTCGAGAGGCTCTCTATTTTTGATGCATATATGACAGGCAGAAGCAGGTCAACATTCGGAACTGGACTTTGTTTCTGCATCCACGAAAGGTCTAAATTCCACTCTGTTTTCTGTCCTTGGCCAGCAACCGTAACCAGCTCTGGCTGCAATATAAACACTGTGTTACCTGTGGTAACATACGTCCAAGATCTGTTTCCGTGTGACAGAGCTGTTGTCCCACAGGTTCCCTGAAAGCCTGGCTCGCATAGCTCCAGGGCGAGGGATGAATGTCTGCCTTCCAGTTCCCTTTTCGTGTCTCAGTGCTGAACCGTAAAGGCCACTGATCATCGGGACAAGCAGAAACCTGGTTCCCCAAATGCCTGGGGGGGGGGGTAACAGGAAATGTTTCAGCTGAGCCAGAGAAGTGACTCCATCATAACCACCAGGTCAGAGAACTTCCTGGAGATGTCATGTCTTTCAGCTGGAAAAATGATTCATTCTTTTTCAGGCATCGGAAGAAAGAAAGATCTATACAGTAAACCATTGGAAGCAGGCCACTGTGACATAAGTTGGATGGTGAATCCGCTCCAGTTTTTAGCCTGAACTTTACAGAACCTATCAAGTACTGGATAAATAATAATCATGTGCCTTCAAGTCAATTCTGTCTTATGTTGACCTCTTTTTTTCAGGGATTTCAAGGCAGAGAATGCACAAAAGAGGTTCATCACACCCTTCTTATGGGGCTGTGCAGCTTGCCCAAGGCTGCGCAGGCTGGCTCTTCTGGGTTGCACAGTTGGGAACTGAAATCCCAACCTTCGGCTCTGCAGCCAGATACCTAAACCACTGAGCTATCCAGTCATGGAACAAACTCATCCCTAAAATAGTTTCAGCACCATAGAAGGCAGACATTCATCCTTCCATTAAAGCTTCAGTCTAAGGTTTAGGCTTCTGTCCTGGAGGACATCTGGGGTTCTTCCCTGAGAAGACCCAGAAGAGCAGGCATCAGGAGATAACTCATCCCTATCAAAGATTCAGCACCATGGACAGCCAAAAGGGAATTTAACCAAACATTTGAAACTCCCACAGAAGGCAATTGGAAATCACATACAGATCAACGGGAAGAGGGGATGGTTTATCATGGAGGGCCAGTGCATTTAAACTACTGTACATGGCGCTGGGTGACCGGAGACGACACTCTGTTCTGAGACACCCCAGCTTCACCCCAATGGAGATGAAATTCATTTTTAATTCATGATGGACAATATACCGAAACTCTAAATAATTCATCATTGGCATATATTGTGATTGATCACAGATGTTAAGTTTAATTAGCAAATTTGTCAAGGTTACCGAGAAGAAAAACGGGATCTGCTGGTGAGAGGGAAGAAGGGAAGGGAAGAAAAATAAATATATAGCTTGCTGACCATATTTTACAAGAGGCTTGGAGGGTATCCATCTATTGGGATGCCTCCCGAATTCCCACTTTTAAAATATCCTGACCAGCATCCCTATAGCTAGTTCCAACTAGAAAGAAGACCCATTGAATAGACTTCTGGATGGTAAGTCAATATGTACGTAAATCCCATTGAGCCAATGGGTCTTCTCAACTTGGAGCTAGCAGTAAAATGCCAACTCAGTGTCCTTTGCATCCCAGCTATGAGGACATTGGTGAACCTAGGAGTGTCTTCAAAACAAACTGAGGAAAACATGATCTCCATCTGCATCGACCAAGTACATTAGATGCAGTTATCCCCATGATGGAGAAGACCACGTTGTGCCATGTTAAAGATAAGGGGCTTCAGGAGGTGAAGGGAGTGGCCATTTTAAATGAGGACTTAAATATGGTTGACTATCCAGGGATTCAAACTATTATTTTTTGATGTTAAGGATAGGAATGAGCCTTTTGACTTTCTTAGACTAGAAATCCTGTAAGTCTCCATTCTGGGAGGAATCCTTAATTTTGCTCACCTGGGAGAAAGGCCTAGATTAGGAGGCTTGGCTAGGCCCAACTCCACCCAAACTTCCTGTTCCTGCCCCAGTGATACCTGGGAGTTTTTGTTTTTGTTTTTTTTGAAAAGGAAGCTTAAGCAGAGCTAGGCCTAGCTAAGTTTCAAAGCCTTCCAGTTGAGGCCTTCATCTCAGGTGAGTGATATTTAGGCAGGGTATTTGCAAGTCTAGGTAGACCTTCCGGAATGAGGACATGTTTTAGTTCTAAAAAATCAAAAAAAAAAATCTATCTCCAGTTAAATGTGCCTGTGTTCATTTTGGTTCCTTCCAGAATTTTTAAAATCTCACAATCTCGCCACGCCCCATACGAAGAAAGGTTTTGTTTGAACTACGATCGGCAAGTAACTGAAATGAAGTTCCTAGTCTACCACAAGGAGGAAGAAAGGACTGCCTTTAGATTAAGGGAAGCATCAGTCAGCCTGGGAAACATCAGTCAAAAAAGGTAATTTTTCCAAGTGTTGATATTTGTGTAATTCTTTCCATTAAGGAAGCCGTATCATTTTTTTAAAAAAGAAGAAGAAGATTTTCTGGAAAATATTTTACAGTATTTGGTGGTTGGCAAGTGAAGCTAGTTGACATTCAACAGTCTTTGATAATAAGTAGGGCTTTTTTAAAGAGTCTGCGGTTTCCAACATTATGCATCTTGGCAGAGTATGAAACTGTTAATCGGAATTCAAGACCCTTATGAATTCCCCCAACAGAAATGGACAGAGACACGAAGGCTACAAAGTGGAGGCTCTTTATTATTCGCTTGCTGCAGAAAGCGGAGAGAAAGCAAGCCAAGCCATGCAAGGCGTTGGTTTCTCTGAGGAACGAAGGAAGAGTACACATTATATAGGCTGTCCGTCCGGGCGGTCCGTTACGGCTCACAAACTTACTACAATTTCATTAAGTTACAAAAACATTCTATTTCTACTGCGCAGCCTCGCTTTTACGGAGTCTGCACTTCCTTTTTACCCTGTCAGCTATATCTTATCGGCCCAGGTTACTCAGGAATTTAATTATAACACACACACTCCTTAGCGAAGGAGTTAAATTCTCATCACTCAGCTTCTGGAAATTAATTTACAAGCTATGCACCAATAGCCCTTTACTCCCTTTTTCCTTTAGTGAAGAAGTCAAACTCTCAGCAATTTTCTACTCACAATTCCCCCTTTTTCTTTTCTTACTAATTTTGACTTATTCACCTGACTCTCCCTCCTGGATGGGGAGTATCTTGTACTGTACTTCCGGGGCTCTAATCACCATCATTGGCACAGTTTTAGGCATAGCTGCCTGCACCGCAGAGTTTATCATATTGCGGACTAGAGGAATGAGACAAGGTAGGAGCATCATGCCAAGCAGTATC